AGCACCAAATTGGTTTGAATGAAGTTTTATATAAAGTATGAGCATAGTTTGGATTTAGTATCTAATAACCGGTAAAGCTTTTTGGTTTTTATATCAAGCATGTCAAATTTTGTAAATTTAGCGAAAAATCATATTTCTATAATTAGGAATTTACTGTAAATTGTACTGAACATAGTACGATAGTTGATTGTTTGATATGTGTTATGTGTTGTCTTGTATATCATTTGGTTTAGTCACTATTGTTACTGGAAGTCAAATTGGACCTGTGTTGTCCGTCCAACCTTACATAAAAATAATATGAATAAAAATAATATGCAATATGCCTTTACTACTGTAGAAAAGTGGAATCATCTATCTAAGTCCTCCAAAAAAAAAGTTGAACCAGCATTGTTTGCCTGGTAGTCCTTTCCCTCCCCTGCCGCATCTCTTATACTGCGGACGTAGGCCATCATCTCGGGTTACAGAAGCGCCATCTGCATGATAATAGCTCCAACGTGCCTCTAGATAGCGTCCAGGATCTGGACAGGAAACATACTGAAGTTATGCACGCTGGAATACCGGATGCTGTGGGTCATTGCTACTCGGAGCGTGTCCATTGTGAGCGTCCTGCTGTCTAGCAGACGAGATTGCTCCTCGGGTAATTGTCAAACGGTTTGAGGGAAAGAGGAATTGATGCGGTTTATTGTGTTTTGGAGTAAGGAGACCTAGTTGAAATCTATTTGGCATTGATGAAATGCATTGACGAATTCCCGAAATTCTCTGGTTTACAAAGAATCAGAGAAAAAATTAAGATTTTAAGAAATATATATGTTAGAATTCACTGTTCATACAATTTTCTAAAGCAGTAGGGTAGACTGGAGTCATAACAGCTAAACTGTGCTGACTTCGAGATATGGTCCAAAGGGTAAAGGATGAAGTATGTTTGTTCAAACAAGTTTCCATTATTGCATTGAGTAAGCGCTCTACATTAACATGATCTGTAGACCGAATGGCTTTTAAAAAGTTTTTGAAGTAAAACTTTTTGAATTAAAATTAAGTTTTTGAACTAAAACTTCTTTAGGCGCGACTAGGGTGTAAATCCGTACATATGCAACGGAAATGCGTAACGCCAGAACTGTACGTCATTCGCTCTCGATAAAAATCATTTTAATACTAGTCGATTGTGTTTAGTCGTCTTGTATGTGAATAGAATTCTGTCGTTGTATGCGTACCGTCATCAACGTTGTATGTGTACCGATATCAACAACGAACGTGATCCTTACTCACGCTTTTTTTTATATTCAATTTTTTTCTCATAATAACTGTAACTTACATACAGATAGATCACGTTATTTTGCTGTATGTTGAACATTAGTAAGTAATTATCAGGAATTCGTTTTTACGTTGATAATATAGCTCAATCAATAACTATGATTTGTCTCCGAAATTGTGTGCTGGGTTCGGTTGTGACAAATTTTGTGGGTAGGTTGTAACATATATTTCTTGTCCTGTAGTTATGAAATTGAACGTATGAAAAAAAAATCAAACTTAACTAAGACAAAATATGAAAGAGAAAGGGAAAGAAAAATTCAATACAAGAAACCAAATGATTTCATTCTTTTTTAAATTATGTTTTTATACTCATAAGCTTTGATTAAATTTAAATGATTATGCTGTGTTGTATTTTACACTTCTGACAATAAGACTCGATTTAACCATTTTGGTGTTTATAGCTATTATTTTCTAACCCATTTTTATGCCTGTCACAACCGTCCCTCGGGGTGTGAACAGTAGTGACTCTCATCTTTGATTTGATTCTATGACTAATGTATTGCATTTAATCACACAGTTTATGTATTATGTACGGACAAATGTTCACCATTTAATTTACTTTTCACCCAGCTAACTGGTAAATTATCAAAATTTTTGCTGATCAAGAAAAAGTGGCACAACCGTACCTAATTTCCTTTGATTCATAAAAATATATAATCTTAATATCTATCAATTACTTTATTATAATTGCATATTAAGTTTGAGATTCAGCGTACTCTCTTATAGAATTGAATTAGGTTGTACATAATGTATTACATCTATTGTACCTAAGGTGAACAGATCAAATCAAGATTTGATTACTATATTACCTGATTAATACATCAATTAGTCATTGTGGAAGTGCTATTGATTCGTTTTAAAATTAATTAGTAATAATTAAACGTTTTGTCGATATTAGTATGATAATTGCAATTCTTGGTTTTTGAATTTTTTAATTGTCATTTAGAAGAATAATATAATTGTGGACCTTTGAAGACTTCGAAAACCCTATCAAAATTATATAAGATTTAAATTAGGTGCAAAACTGAGAAGTTGCGAATCGTAAGACGCTTGTTTTTTGCTCTTGAATTCGCTATATTTCATTGTACAATTTTTGCATCATTTGAGAAAATAACTTCGATATATTTCAATATTTAGTCCATATAATAATACAAAATTATTGTTTTGATCTATGCAATTCAACTAATTATAACAAATAAAATTGACTGCCCAAAGCCTTAAAAACCAAAAAAACAAAAATTAAAATGGAATAAAAACACAAGATTGAATATTAAGAAATGATTTTGATTTTTTCAGAGAAATATGTTCATGTTATATCTTTAAAAATTATCAATATATGAAAAAAAAAATTATAACTGCATGTATGTTAAACATTATAATATCTAAAATTCGATCTATCTTTCAAGATTGCAATTTTAATCCTTTGTTATTTCCACCAGAACTCTTTGTGCTAAAGTTTACTTTTCAGCAGAACTTTATTTCCACTCAAATTATGAACCTGACATTCTGTTTACCTTCTATGCATTCTAAATGAGTGTTTCTAATAGACACGTGGAAATTCGGTCCTTTCATAACGATAACTAGATTTTCTCACATGTTTTCCTCTTATTACCCGAAATGGTAATGCAATTCCAGATATAGTTTGCTGGGATATTGCTATTTTAAGCGAAATACGTAAATAGAATATTTGATCCTTTGGAGTTGAGATAGGTTCTACATATCATTTTGCCATATTAGCATACATACTTGATTACTAAAAGCTTTTAGGGATAATTTGAAATTTGTTTTCTCATTACCGGTATAATTATTCATCAGGTATTAATGGAAATGTTGATCAAAGATCCTGCTTTTCAAATGTTTTGAAAATATTTTTTATTGCCTAGAATTATTATATTTTTTCAGCAATGTTGTGTTTTATCAACAAAGCGAATTTGCAAGTTATTTGAATATTACAACAGAGACGTAAAAAATAAATAGCATTTCCTACTAAAGTTGTAGGAAAACTGTATGTTCTTAAAGCATTCTTTTAAGAAAAAGACTAGCAGAAAATGAAAAAAGGCAGTCAGATCTCAAAGACGACGTGTGAGAGCTTTAAAAAAGTTACTACTGTGTAGAACACAGAATTTACGACGTTATGTATTTTATAAAAATCGATATTAGCTGCTGATTTAAAATTTGCACCAGTCAGAATAATTTTTGTACCATCAATAAAAGTAAGAGAGATTGGAATTATCATTTTCCAGCATCAGTATATGTTATTTCAAACTCAAAATCTCAGACAATAGTCAGCACATTTGATATTTTTAAAGTCATGTATTAAACCTACAATTTTGTTTGTTGCCCTTTTAAGATAGGTGTTATAAAATTACTACATAATTAAAGTAAAATAAAATTTCAATGATTTATATAATATTTTTGTTTATGAGATTAATCTATACTTGATTATGAATTATACATTAGGTTTTGTCGCTTGAGCAACTAAAAAACAAGAATTTATATTGGAATGTAATTAATACTTAATTATGAATCACACATTATGTTTTGTTACTCGAACTAAAAAAACAAGAATTTATATTGGAATTTAATTAATACTTAATTATGAATTACACATTATGTTTTGTTACTCGAACTGAAGAACAATAATTTATATTGGAATTTAATTAATACTTAATTATGAATTGCACATTATGTTTTGTTACTCAAACTAAAAAACGAGAATTTATATTGGAAAGCGCGAATAAGCTTTCCTAAATATCATTATTAAGAAAAGCTGTTTCATATTTAAAAGTACGTATTGAATTTTCATATATTGATAATAAAACTCTTGTCAGAATCCACTGAAATTTTATAAGAATAAGGATCTAATAAGAAACTTGTAAAGATCCCTTATGAACCTTATCTACTTACTAATACTTATTAACACGTGTCTCTATCAATATAAATCGAATGTTTTTGAATCATTGAAGTCAGTTGTTCCGAATTCGTGGATGCCAACATGAATCCATACTCAAACACATACGCCTATTTTTCTAAGGTATGCTCTAAATATTCAAGAGGTCTTGAAACGTAAAGAAAATTTACAATTATTTGAGATTACTGTTCTTACCCCACGCGAAGTTAACTATATTGATAATTCAACACATTTTGAAAAAAAACAATCATTCTATTTTTACAACCAAGCTATCCTCCAGAGTATTAAAATTTGTTGCGTTATGTGCAACATTAACAATGCCTTTGAACCATTGATTTATTGCTAATGGTCAAGTATTAAATAAAACATTTCGTTACTAGCAAACAATTGTCTATTCCATCAGTACATGTTATACTAGTAGTAGCTCACAAAAGTGAACTTTTCGACTCGTCTGGCAGGTATTAGTGCAGGCTGTAATGGGCTGGCAATTTGATATATTTGATACTTTCAAACCTGCCAGATTATTGTTTTCGTACTAGGCACGCTAAGAATCATCTCTACAAAAATTGTTAGTCTTACAGGTGCACCATCATATAAAAGGTTCACTGGCTGTCAGCCTATAGTTTTATAAGTAACGTCGATCAAAAAAATAATCAAATTAAATCGATTAAAACAATATCATTTATTACTATTCGTGTACATTGTATTTGCTTTCAATACCGCAAATGTGCCCGTATATTGTGTTCTGTATATTGATATATCGTATCCCGGTTTACAGCGCCCGCACAGGTAGTCTGGGCCGCCATCGGGCACGACGTGGAATTGCCTTGCGACATCACACCGGCGACACCGCGGGACACGATCAACATGGTCTTGTGGTTTAAGGACTCCCCTATACCACTTTACAGGTCAGTATTACTATAGAATAGAATAGAATAGAATAGTATAGAATAGAATAGAATTGATTATTAACAGGAAATCAGAGGTTTATATTTTTTTCATTTCTTTTATTAATTATAATTTGTCTTATACAAAAAATTCTGTAATTTTGGGGATATATGGATTATTAACATCTATTCTAAAATTTTACTCATTAGTAAGTCTTTTAAGCATTGATAAATAAATTAAATTATATATCAAATCTATAATCAAGCCCTCCGATACATGTATAAAAAGAAAACAACATTAATTTGATGTTTAATCGATTTTTTGCGAACAAATCAGCATTTATAAATTTTCTGCTACATTCCCTTGTAAAAATAAATCGTAAATTAATTGTAAGTGGCATTTCGCCCTAATTAAATCAAATAAACGACTTAATCAATGAGAAATCAATATATTTTTTTATCAATAAATAAGAATTTAAATAATATTATTAACCCTGTGTGAAAATTATTCACAATTATGATAAAATATAAATCACTACTATGTATTAACTTTATATTAAGAATATTGCAATATTTTCAAAAGTAATAAAATTGTGATTAAAATGTACTAGCAAAAATTATGCTATTTTAGGGTTTTTATTTTTTACTCGAAATTTCTCAATAATAAAAGTATTTTACGATTTTACAATCCTGATTAAATGCGCCAACGTTTGATGAAACTTGCACACACACTTTAGTACATTTCTTTTAAAGTTTACCGATTTTAAAAATTTGAAAATCATAGTTTAACAAAAAGTCATAATTCTCGAAAACTTGGTGCAATTGGGTAATTATTTTTCATTGTGGTTCTAAATGTTGTTCACGGTCATGATTTTGAAATTTTTAAACTCATAGTTTAACAAAGAGTCTTAGTTCTCGAAATCTTGGTGCAATTGGGTTATTATTTTTCATTGTGGTTTTAGAAATGTTGTTCACAGTCATGATTCCAAACTTTAAATGTACAAAATTAGTAAAAATTACCCAAAAAAATAAAAAATGGTCATAATTTCACAAAAGCTCTGGGTTGAATTTAAAGCTCATAATTTCCAAACAACTTGAGAAAAATCTTCTAATTTTTCTTCTAGAGTCTAGACAGTAAAGGCAATACTATCACCCCGTTTTGGTTTGACGTCAATGTCTGGGACACCTGTATTAGGGTGGTCCTAGTGCTAGGGGTAAGGACATTTTCGAATTTCCTTGCTATTAAGGGCTCAAATGGTTCCAAATTGATAAAAAACATTTATCTGAAAGCTTTAGTTCTTAATATTGTCTTTTAGATATATAATGGAGAAACTTTCGAAAATTTAAGAAATGTTTTTAAGTATAACTTAGCAACAAATGAATTAAAAGTGACAATTCGTGTCATTTTTATTGAAAATTCGATGCTTTGCAAAACAGGTTTTTTATAATTTGTTTTTTAGAGCGTCGAATTTTGAATAAAACTCATTCATTTGTTCTCTAAGTTATATTTAAAAAACATTTTTAAAATGTTTGAAAATTTTTTCATGCTCTTTTCATACAAAACTTTGATTGAATTGCGCACTGACAATATTAAGAGATAATATTACTAAAATTTTCAAATAATTGTTTTTTATCAATTTGGAACCATTTGAGCCCTTAGGAGTAAAATTTTGAAAATATCCACATTAAGGACCACCCTATATATATATATATATATATATATATATATATATATGTATATGTGTGTGTATGTATTATATTCAACGCATATAATCTTTTTTATTATATAAATATATTTCATTCCCATCGGAAATGTTCTGTACGAACACCAAACTCGTCCTCCTCGTGGCTGTCGCCCGGGTGGATTAGATTAACTCGCGGTCGCCTAGGATTTAGTGAGGCGCCCGAAGGCGCTACGAGGCGAGTCCGAATTTTGAGCGCCGCCACGAATTCGTATCTAATCCTTGTTGTATGGGATTCGGGCTGTCCATTGACGTGCTCATATCTCATTGCTGATGCAGAATATACACAATAATAACGATCGCGAATCCTCACGTTTACGACGGACCCATATATTGGGTTATGGTAGAACATACAAACATAGTAAGTATTACAAACAAACAGACACACAAACATATATTTTAATTAGAGCATTAGTGAATTTAAATTAGTATCTCATGAGTATATTATCAGATCCTTTTTATAGGTATTTTATTGTATAATGAACTTCACTTAACGAGTTACATACGACAGCTATTGAATTTTTAAAATCGGTTCAGTAGTTTTTGAGAAAACATCGACAAAAGTTATATTTATTCTCGTTGCTTCAAAATAATTGAATCTCATTTGAAACAATTTTTTATTATATTCGTATCCACTAAATTGATTTTTTGAGTTATCATATACAGTAAAACTCCAATTATCCGAATTAATGGGGACCGGGACCCATTCGGATAATCAAATATTCGGATAATCGGAGTTTTTTTTAAAAATTGCCATTGGAAAGAAAAAAAGTTACGTTTTGATATTGCACTATTTTTTCATTGAATTAAATGAAAGAAACATGACATTTTCACATGTTTTAAATATAAATAAAATGTACTTATGTACAAGTTTAGAAATAAAAATCATTGTTTTGTAAACATCTCCGTCAAATCAAAACAAACAATGCGCCTACACTGGCTTTGCTGGTGGAAGAATAATAGCGCACTTAGACTTTTTTTGGACAATTTTTTCTCTGAAAGTGATTCGGATAATCGGCGATTCGGATAATCGGCGATTCGGATAGTCGGAGTTCGGATAGTCGGAGTTCGGATAGTCGGAGTTCGGATAGTCGGAGTTCGGATAGTCGGAGTTCGGATAGTCGGAGTTCGGATAGTCGGAGTTCGGATAGTCGGAGTTCGAATAATTGGAATTCTACTGTATAGATATTTTAGAATGGCCCATCAATGATAATAATATATTCTAATGACAACAAATTTTCCGAAAGTCGTTTCACAAATGAGCGAAATTTCCAGAAGGTCAAGTATTTCAATTGCCTACTTATATCAATGCAAGGAATTTTAACCTAAATTGGCAACCTGTCTCAAGGATGTACTTCTAATGCTAGCAGACTGATATACGATTCAAACGATTCATCTAATTGATATGCAGTACTTTTATAAACAATATTTGAAACTAAATTAATAATATGTAAATGTTTAAATATATATTTACATATGTATATATATATATATATATATATATATATCAATATTCGACATATTAAATGGGGATACGTATGAGGAAATTTATCATTTCCACGGCTTAAGAGGGATAATCATTTTGCCGCACCCTTGGGCAAGGAAAACTTGAAGAAAAACTATTCTCAATTACCTGGGACAAGTTTGAAAACTACAACCCAACATAGAGATAAAAAATAACCATACCTATATAAGTACAAATTTTATTACTTTTGAAAATATTGCAATATTCTTAATATAGGGTTAATACATAGTAGTGATTTATATTTTATTATAATTGTGAATAATTTTCACACAGGGTTAATATTGTTATTTAAATTGCTATGTTATTAATAAAAAAATATATTGATTTCTCATTGGTTAAGTCGCTTATTTGATTTAATTAGGGCAAAATGCCACTTACAATTAATTTACAATTTATTATAGGTAAAAATTGACAGCCCGGAAGCACACAGTTTCAAGTCATTATTTTTAATTTTAATAGGAGTTTGCAAAATAATAGCTAAGTTATTCAACCAATTCGAAATACTAACTTCATGGGCACTTTTTGTACAAAAATCACACTGTATATAACCTTGATCTGTTATTTCTTGAGAAATATTCATTAGCGGAGTTGGAATAACTATTATTTTAATTTTCCTTTTAAAATTGCGAAAAGCTTATTCATAAGTTAAATACCTAAACCGTATATCGTTATTGAAAGAACTATTTTAATTATTAAAATATGCTTTTAATCTCTTTCTCTTTACAGATTAACTTATGGTTGAAATAGAAACTAATAGTAATTTTAACTAGAAAGAAAAAAAAATAGTTGAAAATTAATTATAAATGATGTAATGTTTATAATCAGATTTTTTCAAATGGCATTTCAAAAAAGGTTTAAATAACATAGTTTGAGTAATTTACACAAGTTGATACAAATTTATTTTTATGAGATTAATTCTTAAAAAAAATAATGTATATTTTGATTGACCATAAATGTATGCAAAAATTTAAGGAAAAAATAAGATTAATAAATAGAAAGTTATTGAAATCTACTTATTCATTGATATTTAATCTTATTGTCAAATTCGTCAAAATAAAAAATTAATATGATTATTATTTATTTGATTAGAAATTTTAATATGTACTAGGGATTATTTTTACAAAATATACACATATATAAAACGGAACACAATTTTGTGTATAGACACTTGTATGTCACCATAAAATGTATCAGACTAATATTTAATTAACAAATTTAATTAAAATTTATTTTTTACGATATAAAAACTCTGTTTATTCACATACGTTTTTATTTACACTGCATTTTGTGTATATTCATCATGTATAGAGCTTGTGATCAATTTCAAATATAATTAATATTTTTCTCAACAATGAAGTTGTAATTTTGAATCATTTTCATAGCAACAGAAGTTAAATCTGTATTATTATACAAGTTTGATGAATGTGAGGGATTCCTAAACAATTTCAAATATCGACATCTGGTTCAGACTTATTGCGTCTGGTACGATCTTAATTAAAATTATTTTCGTAACACTTCATCAGGTCTTTTAATGAATTATTAAAGAAAATTAATACGATATAGTATAATATTTAGGTTCTTTTATATAAATTTACCTAGAAATATATATATATATATATATATATATATATATATTTGTGTTGGTTCTAGATTCATTCTTCCAGACAATAACGTCGCTAGATTGAAATTGTGACAGAGAACATTTTAATAACGAAGCAAATTTCGTCTGTATAATTAACTTTGAATGTAATGAATTTGCGAAGATTTCTATTTGTATTAAGAAACAACTATAAATATCTAGATTTAATAAATATTCAGTTTGTTTTAACAAGTAAATATTCCAACAACTTGTTTGACGTAAATTGAATAGTGAATAATAATTCTGCCCCAGTTTTATTAAAGCATCAGAAATGGAAAAGTATTTGTACTGTTAAAATATTTTGAAATCAAAGAATGTTTTAAATATAAAATTGTACTATGTAGAATTGCAACAACTCGATAATTTAATATACAATGCCAGCGAAATTCAAAACGTGCACTTTTTAGAAAATATCGTGAGTGAATATATGCACATATAAATTTATGACTGCACAATTTAATTTAATATTTGATTTGATATAATTTAATTTAATCTATCCAAATATAAATTGAACAGTAAACCATTTAATTCAATAATTTACATATATTCTCAAAATTAGTTACTCTTTTTCTCTTTGTAAAGACAATTTTTTTTGGCTATATATATCATGGTCTTATATAACTTACTGAAATATTACTATCTTACGACAAATAGTTTAATTTTAAAAATTTATTGAAGTTTGATAGAATCGGTAGTTTTTTGAAGTTTGTTAATATTAAAATTAGACGATTTACTTGGTATAACGATAGAGTACTTGGTCTTAATGAACATACTAAACCATCAAAGTCCTATTTGTGAAAATTTGCTTTCACAAAATACTCCGAGTTAACATGTTCGTTTGTTTTCAATTATATGTAATATATGTAATCCACTCGAAATTCTTTTAATTACTCATAAATTAATTTATTTTTTACTGAATAAGTCTATTATTTACACATATCAGGAAGTTCATGTAACTTGCCTCAAGGCAAAATACCAATACCAACTAGTTAACTTTGTTTTCATGATTTTTTTTTCAGTTTGGATGCCAGAGGCGGACTGTCGCTCGACAAAGCGAACCATTCCGCTCTCGGTAGCGATTTGGGTAGAAGGGTATATTTTTTAGTAGGTGAGGGCCCCAAACAGGGCCGGGCGAGGCTGCAAGTTAAGAATATTCAGCCAGAAGATGGCGGTGTCTTCAGATGCAGAGTCGATTTTACTGACTCTCCAACTAGAAATTTTAAGGTCAACTTGACATTAATAGGTAAGATATAAAATAAATATATAGATATTATTTTTTATAAAAAAATTAAAAAATAATGCTTTTACGAAATTTGTTTATACTGTTAATTATCTATGGGTTCATTTGCGTTAAATTGTTGAAATAAGTTTTTTAATATCAATGTTAAGTATATCAATATTTATTTTTTATCAGTGCCGCCCTCAGAGCCAAGAATTTTCGACGACCAGGGCCGCGAATTAAGCAGTGTCGCTGGCCCTTTCAAAGAGGGTTCCGATTTATTTCTGTCCTGCCAAGTCACAGGAGGTAAATATTTTATTTAATTATATACTTATTAAATCTATATATTTAATACAATACTTACATCTGCCCATCTGCCAATATTTTTGGACTATCACATTTAACACTTTAGTGCATTTAAGCTCTTAAGCCGAGCTTTTATGAGACTGTTCATGGTAAATACGAGTTTACTGTACGATTTTACTATAATTATTAAAACATATAAATTTTTATGTATTTAAAAATATATTGTCTTTATCGGCAAGTGTAAATATGTTTTGAATGTAAATTTAGGTATTTTTAATATATGACATTAAAGTTTAATAAAAGTACTCGGAGCATTAACTTTATTTTATATCATATATGAAATGCAAAAGTCATATCTGTTTTTATGACCTGCGTTGCTAGGATGATTCTGCAATAATGGAAATACATCATAAACCACTTATTTTGTACTTTGATATATATATATATATATATATATATATATATATATATGTGTGTGTGTGTGTGGAGGGAGGGGTGTTTGTATCAGTGTTTTCATTATTTTATTTCTTGCTGAAACCTCAAAGGTAAAGATCGTTAAGCAAAGATGAAATAGTTTTTGTTCCTTACGTTTGATGGGATTTTTTGCGGCTATTGATTTCTTCAAATGACTATATATATATATATATATATATATATATATATATATATACATATATATTAGGGTGGTCTCTGATATGGACATTTTCAAAATTCTTTGCTCCCAAGGGCTCAAATGCTTCCAAATTGAGAAAAAAAAAATTTAAAAGTTTGAGCTCTTAATATCAACATTTATATAGTCCGCAATTTAAATAAAAGTTTTGTGTATTTATTATTAACATATGTCATTAAAAAAATTCTTACCCGATCTGTGATAGCACTAATTTTTAACACTTATAATTTTGATGACTATTTACTAATGATAATTTGAGTGTCAACATTACCAATTAAATAAATATTTTGCTGCAAAATCAATCTTGTTACCATGATGCATAGATATTTTGTTAAACAACCCACATGTATTTAATTAGAGGTCAAGTGTCATAATATTTGAGTTTACAAATGTTATCACAGATGGCACAAAAATTTACTCAATGACATATGTTAATAATTAATATACGAAACTTTTAGTTGAATTCCGGAATATCTAAATGTTGACATTTAAAGCTAAAACTTTTAGAGGATTGTTTTTTTTTAATTTGAGGAAGCATTTGAGCTCTTGGGAGCAAAGAAAATTCGAAAATGTCCATATTAAGGACCACCCTAATATATATGGAACACCCATATATATATAACAACTACGATTTTCCAAATTAGTCAGCTTTGAGAAGCCCTCCTCTAAAAAATATGCACTAAAATGTATTATCAAAAGTGCATACAGATCAGTATTGCAAATTTGTAAAATACTTGATAGATTTATAATGAAAAAATTGAGTGAAAAATGAAAACATCAAAATAACAAGCTCAAATCAATTTTGGCACTTCAAGAAACTTTGCCAAAAAAAACATAGTTTGAAAGTGAGTTTGAAGCACCGAAATTTTCAATGTTTCTTCATAAGATTATAATATTCTAACGATTGGTTTTCATCATTAACTTTTATAATCTAGCAAAATTTCATCAAATTTGCACCTGATTTGCTTGTCGATGTTCACTTCAGACCTGTGATTTTTCTGACAAAATTTCTTGAAACAGTATTGCAATGTGGCGATATACTCGTATATATACTATTTTGAGTGCATCATGTTTAAGATATTATTTTTTATTTAGATAGATATTTCAGATGCCTATCCATTTGCTCTATAGAAGAATCTATTTGCTCATATTTGTTTTATAAATAATATGCTGTCATATAAAATACAAGAATATAAATTCAAATGCACTTTGAATCTGAAACTCGGATTCTCGAATATCCTGAAATCGACTATAAACCGCCCTTTATTTACCATTAAACATTTACCCCGAGCAAAGTAATAATTCTAAATATTCGACGAGAATGGGACATTTTCAATATTTTAAGCAAACTTTACTGAAGGCAACAAAATCAATAAAATTTATTTGTCGGACTACGTTCAAATGAACGCAATTATGATGAACGTGGAAATTATAGAAAGAGTTGAATCGCAACCTGAGGCTGAATCCTTGTAACGAAACTAATGAATTAAAATGAAATGCATTTTAATTCTCATTACTGCAGTTTGCGATGAAACTTTTTGAAATTTAATACTATATCGGAGTAAAATATATGAAGTTCTGAATAATATGGAAAAACTTATGAAAACGGTTCAAAATTATGTTGAAATACATGTGCAGTAATAGAAACAGTGTTATACATATCACGTATGATGTCGACCACTAAAAATAATGATTTTCTTTCATTTTATTGAACACCAAAAATTTCTTAAACAAACTATGTGTTAGTGGCGTTTTGCCTTAAGAAAAACTGCAGGAATCTCCTGATACATGTTGACTGACTTCATAAATAACTAGTGGAGTGCATGGCATTGTGACTTAAGGCAAATTGCTGGAACTTCCCGTACCATAATTAAAAATCTTGGTATGGAACCCCAAAAAATTTACACAAAATGTGTACACATTATTAAAATCTCTATAAAATATCTGATAATTTGATGTACATCTGTCCAATAAATATTTGGACATTTGGACCGCCAAATTTTTTCACTTATTTTATTGAGCGTTCATAACCGCTGGACCGGCCTTCCCAAAAATTTAATCAATTCTTCATCTTGTCAATACAAATAAAATGTTTTTTGAATTATTAAAATCGGACTCCGTTCTTAATATCGTATTATTCAAATCGGTTGATCGGTGTTCCCTAAATCGTCGACGAAAATTTGTATCCGCACACACACACACACATACATCCATTTTTTCTAAGGTAACCAAAATTCTCAAAAACCTGAAACATAAGGATATATACAAATTTTCATTTTTGAATTTTTGCAATTACTATAACTTACCCTACGGGAAGTTAATGAAATTGAGAATTAGCTCAATTTTCAACTCTCTAACTGCTAAAATAAAATCAGGTTCTCACTAAAATTGTAATCAAATTGTATGATATTAATTATAGTATTATATCAATTATAGTGCACAATATAACGCGATTGTATGTCCTAAGAGCCCATTATTCTATAATTTTATGAATTTTTATATTACAACTATTATCATAGAACTCTAATATTTTAGGATATTTGTGTGCCCTATGAAATTCTATTTCCATGGTAACTTTTATTAAAAATACCAACAAAAATTTTGCAAACCGTCAGTTATGCAAAAACTGAATACTACACTTTATATACACATATCTTTGCTCAATTGCACTAATCAGGACAAATTCCATGTGATATCTTACAAACGGTTTTCAAAATTTTCAAAATTGTATCTTTTGCGAAAAGGTGGACCAAAAATGCAGAATTATTTTTAATTCTAAAGAAACGGCTCAGCTGATCATCTTGCCATAGTAACTAACCCGAGTTATTATCGAGCTACCCAAAATCGATTCAGACATTTTTAAGAAAAGTACATGTGTTTTCCATAGTAGGTCTCAAACGATTCAGAAGGACTTGAAACATTGAAAAAATATAAAATTAGTAACTCGGATTTTCTGGCAAAAGCATAAACTTCTTAGGGAAGTTAGAATAGTGAATAAATTCGCCTTTGGCATTTCGTATAATAGGATTTTATGTATATTTATAATGTATACGTATGATAGGACCTTATGTATATTTGTTATATAAATGTTTTTCAAATTTCTGCACTCTTGACAATTCCATGAGCTATTGACTCATAAATTTGTATCATCAAATACAATTCCAGCAGAATAGCATACTGGAGATGACAAGTTTTGATTTAAGTGCAAGAAGCTTCGAAAAGCTTTTGAAGAATTGCTCAATTTCTACGTGACTTTCTTGATATGAGTTATTTCTCGTAAAATGTTGAAATACTCATAGGTAGTATTGGGAAAATAAAATTCAGTTACTCTGATAATAAAAATATATGGCCAAAAGATTATGTTATGGTATGATAATTATCTAATTAGCTGATTGTGGGTTTTTATTGATTAAGTAGATTTTTTGTATATATCACAAAGTTTGTGCAAATGACTTACACCTAGTTCTCATATATTGTTTAATTAACTATTTTTTCTTCTCAGGACTTCCCCGTCCAGAAATAACCTGGTGGAGGGATGGCATTTTATTGGACGGAGTTGTAGATACTGACAAAAATGCTGATACTGCTGTTAATCAGCTTTTATTGAGGTCTATTGGCCGTGATATGTACGGGTCCAAATTAGAATGCAGGGCTCAAGGGTCATATCTGATACCTCCGGTTGTCAGGATAATACATCTCCGAATCTACTGTAAGAATTCAGCTATTTTATTAAGATTTTTTAGAAATTATTTTATTGTAGTAAAACATTGAGTTTTACTTACTTGTAATTAATTAAAGTTGTAGCTATGCTCGCCACATTGTTTAATTTGAAAAATCTATTTTAAATGTAAGAGTCAGATTATGGAATAAATATTGTTTTTATTTGATCAACTATTTGTACTATAATATTACTTTATATTTGATATTATAGAAACTATACAGAAATATAATGCATTATGTGCAAGGTCAAAGTTTGCAATAGCAATAATTTGAAGAAATAATAAAGATAGTGCTTGATTGAAAAAAAAACTTCATACTATGATTTTAGCAAAATTGTACATAATTTATACCATGGACTTTGGAATAAAATTAAAAATCAATGCTATCCAAATAATATTACAAAATCTCTTGATACTACTATTATTCACATTAGCAACTCTGTTTTTAATTTTGTTAAAACCACTTGTTTTTTGGTATACTATTATTCATATTTTTATAAGATATTCTGTAATTATTTTATTTCAAATATTGTTAATATTTTTATTATTTTTTTTAGTAAAACCACTAAAAGTTAAAATTGTGTCTGGTGACGAACTACTGTCTGCCGGAACAACTCAACATATTCGTTGTGAAAGTTGGGGATCTGTTCCTCCTGCCAAGGTAATAATATTGTTGTTAGTAATATTTCAGTGTAATATTTAAAAATAAAATTCTAGTTTTTGTATATTTTTTCTGTTTTCTATTTATGAAAGAACTGTAGAAATGTATTAGAATTAAAATCAATAATTCCCTTTTTCCTCAGATAACTTGGCTTTTGAACAGTGAACCAGTACAAAGCACTTCTTCGACGATATCTCCATATGATAGTGTAACTCATACGACTCTAGGAAAAAATTCCACAACTTCAATTTTGAAATTAAACGTAGTTGCTCAAGACGGTGGCAAAAAGTTGACCTGCAGGGCTTCAAATCCTTGGTTCAATGGAGCAATTATAGAAGATACCAGGACCATAGTTGTCGCATGTAAATAACATTTACTAGTTTAGTTTAGATACAGGTCAATAAAAACTCAATTAATAGAATGTGATTCAATTTCTGGAGATACCCAAATCTTCGAATTTTTGTATATACATAGACATTTCATGTCCTAATTGTTACTTGTTTTAATAAATATTGTGTCATGGATAACAATAAGTTTAATTGATTAACTAGATGCGCCAATAGTAAGTCTGCAATTGACGGATAGCAAAGTAAGACAAGGAGAGTCCTTAGACCCAATGAGACCTCAACCATTGTTGGTAGAAGGTGGATATGCAGAATTACATTGTCAAACCCAAGCTCATCCACCTGTCCATACATATGTATGGTTTAAAGATGTAAGTCTTATTAGTACTATTGTTTAAATTAACTATATTTAAAGGTTTGTTCTGTAATCTGGATCATACTATCTTAGAACGGTGTACTTATTCCGGAAAAGGTTGGAATGTTTTCCGATAAATCCATTTTAAGGATTCCATCAGTTGGCAAAGAAACCGCCGGCGTTTACGTTTGTGGGGCTACAAATTCCGAAGGTGATGCTAGAAGTGCACCAGTTACAGTGAAAGTACAATGTAAGGACAATATCTGTTTTAATAAAAATATGGCAAGTTTTGGTTTATATTTGATTTTTATTTTTGTAGATTCTCCGCGTTGTAAAAGTGGATTTGAAGAAAAAAGCGTCGGTGCTTTGAGAAATGGTACTTTAACAGTTCGTTGTGAAATTGAAGCTGATCCGTTGGATGATTCAGTAAAATTCAGTTGGACTTATAATAACACTAAGGATGTGCTCCCGGTAAGTCTTAGAATATGGAAAAAAATCGATCAGTTTTGTAGAACTTAATATTACAATGTTCCAATATTACAAGATCGATTTTATTTTTTTAGGTTCCCAGTTCAAGAGTGTCTTCCTTAGGAGGAATTTCACAGCTTCAGTATACTCCTGTATCAAATAATGATTTTGGTACTTTGGCTTGCTGGGCTAGCAACAGGGCTGGACGTCAAAAAATTCCATGTCTTTTCCACGTTGTTCCAGCAAGTACGGAAAATTATTCATTCAAGTTGTGATATCATTACCTACTATAATAATATACCTACTTTTATAGAAGTGCCGCAACCTCCAGGAAATTGTATCTTATCCGAGCAAACTGGATCTTTGGATTTAACTTGCACTCCAGGATTTGACGGTGGTCTTCATCAGCATTTTCTGTTAGAAGTTATATCTGCTGCAAACACTGAAGGGATGTCAGCATCATCTTCCTCGTCGTTATCAACAGTTACTACTAGGAGACATCCAGCGGACGCCGATAATGAAATTTCAACGATGAATGATCAGGTGAACTTTCTGAATATAATTAATGGTATATTTCTAAATGTAAGCCAAAATTTTAAATATAAAATAAAAAAAACTGTTATTAATGTAGAGTGAAACGCCAGCATTATACCGGATGACTGAGACGGACCCACACTTCCGAGTACGTGGTCTTCTTCCAGGAAGAGATTACCAATTACTGGTCTGGGCAGTTAATGCACAGGGTCGAAGTGAACCACCTGTAATAATAGAAAGAGTGCGAGTTGCTTTGCCAATGAGCCACGTTGGGGCTCTTTCTGAAGGTCCTAGTGATGTTGGCCAAACTTTACCTGCCAACACTGGTCAGGCAACTAATGGTGCAGGAAATATTATCAGTGGCGGCGGTAAAGCATCACATAAATCGGTTGCAGTGGTGAGTTTGGCGTTAGACAAATTTTGAAAAACAAAGCTTGCAATTTCAATCGGCTGTAAAAATTAAAGTTATGGAATTAATATATGATATACAATTTTCTTATTTTTGTACAAATAACTTTTGTTCATATCCACATTTTACTTATTTTTTACTGACTATCGCTGATTTTTACAGATTCTAGGGGCCTTGATCAGTGCTGCTGGCCTTATACTATCTGCAATACTTTTTGCAACTATATTGGTTGTTTGCAAGAAACGAAATGTTGCCAACGAAGAAATTCGAATTCCTGAAGAGCAACTACAATCCAGTTCTAGGTAAAGTTTTACAGTCTAAAAATATTAAACAAATAGGATTATTATTTCATACTTGATGTTGCTTTAGGCCACGAACTGAAGGCCCGTCAATGTACAGCGGCGAAATGGAATCGTCCAGTGCCGAATTGGATTATCCTATACACAGAAAACCTGCAGAAATTACTATTACACCGCTCAGAAACAGCAGAGCTAGTAGACAATTACCCGATAGCATAGTTCGATTTTCACAACCTTCAATGAATGGTGAGATTCAATTAATTGATTAAGTACAATTAAACAAAAAAATTAAAATCTTACCAGTATTATCAAAATAAATCATAATTGTATAATAGGCTTAGCTGGAAATTAATCATGATCTTACAATTCCTACATATGAAAATATTAATATTATAGGCTATTAATATCAATATCTTTGACTTCAGAATTTTTGTTTCAGAACCTGATCTAATCCTAGCTCGAAGCGTTGATCCTGGTTTCGTTAGGACATGACCTTAAAAAAATTGTCTATCGGATTTTTGTTATATTCTTTAATAGTTTCAAATGCTTGAAATATGTGTATCAAAAACAAAAATTATATTTTTTAATTATTATTATTACTATGTAATAAAAAAAATTCCATACTTATAAATAAAATAATAAATGATTATATATAAATTAAATAAATATACGGTATTTGTAAAAATTACTTTTCTATAAATATTTTTCTTAGGTTAAGGCACATTATAGTATATAAGTGAGCTTTAGAACTTTAGCAAGAATTAAAATTAAAATCTGAATTATTTTCGATATACAAAAAAGTTTCTTTGAAATAAAAAATTTTGCAATATTTTTTCGATTTCTAATTATCCCTATCAATAGGAATCGAATGTTTTTTGAACCATTCAAATCGGTTGATCCGTGCGCCCGAAAACTTGAACGAAAAAATGCGGACACACAAAACACACACACATAATACATATATTCATTTTTTCTGAGGTATGCCAAAATGTTCAGAAACCTTCAGAACGTCGAGAAATGCAAAAATTTTCAATTTCGATTTTTGGACGATTACAATAACTTACCCTGCGGGTAGTTAAAAAAAACTTTTTGTTTAAATTCCTACACTAGAAGGAAGTAAGATGGGGTAAGATTTATATACCACATAAAAATAAATCGAACAAAACAATCGTGCAAAATTAAAATCGCATAAAACCATTTAATAAAATCACACAAAAACTGATTTTATTAACTTTCCGTAGGGTTATAGTAATCGCAAAAAAAAATCGAAAATGAAAACTTTTGCCTATCTTTACATTTCAAAACACGGGAAGTTCCAGCAATTTTCCTTAAAGCACGATGCCATGCACTGCTAGTTGATTGTATTGGTCGTATTGATTGAAAAAAGTAAGGATCGCTAAAAAGGCGATCACGTGTATTACGAATAGAATTTTCAAATAGTGTGTTTCAAATTACAGAAATTTCGAGATCAAGGTAAGCCTCATCGTCAGTGTAATTTTAAAACTGTAAAAATTATATATTAACAGTTTATTCAATATTCTAATATAAATTATATTTAATTTTTAAAACAAAAACACATTCTCTTACAATGTAATACAGTACGCTATTACAAGTACTTCATATTTAATTCATATTTAGCAGTAACTTCATATTTAACATTTAATATTTGTTCCAAAATTCTATTAATACTTATATATATGTATATATATATATATATATATATATATAACCAAAATACTTTTAATTTTATTTTATAATTATATATAAAAACGCACAAATTAATAAGACGCAAATACAAATAAAAACATGGTTAATAGAAATAATGCTTCACAATCAAATCAAATATATAAATCAAACAGAACTAGATGCAAATATGTAATAATTTCGACCACCTCACCACGAAGGTTGAATTCAGACTGTTTGTGAGGTACAAACCTTTCGTATTGCACCCTCTATGGTTCTGAACCCGAAACTATTCAATTAGATAACAATTTTTGAATTTTAGCATCATCTGGTAACAATTCATAGTTTTGTCCCTTTCTGACCCCAATATAAAAGGTGCGTAATTTCCAACAAAAATCATTCTGCATTTTGAGCTCGCTTGGTGTACACTACAGTCAGTGGTAAGTCTTTTAAAAATATTTATGTATTATGTAATAGTTTCGTGCATTCAGTTTCAAATACGAAATACGTGTCATGGAATTTGTTTTGGTTGATTCGATTTGACTTGATCGTAAATAAATTGAAGTAAATATTCGTATATTTAATATTAAACGATTTACGTTACATTTTCTAATTCATTATATTTGTGCTGAAGAGTCGCCTTAGTGTTTATTGTTGTGAAAATATTTAATTTTTGCCTTTGAGTTAACATAAATAATTTAATGCAATCTTTAGATTATAAAATTTAAATATAATTAAATAATATTAAATTTTAATATAAATCTTATGTTTCAAATATTTACAATTGACTGCATTAGTTTTATTTTCTAATGTTCTTGTTTCAGATTTCACACAGTGTTTTGCACAGTGGCGGATTGCTTTGGGGATTTATTGTGCATGATTTTTTTATTCAATCACATTCACAATTTTTAATTATTTTTTATAATTTTTTTTAATTATAATTTTGAGTTATTTGCATCCACATTTTAATTTTTGAAGTAAAACTTCTTTAGGCGCGATATGGGTGTAAAAATTTTTAGGCGCGACACGGGTGTAAATCCGTACAAATGCAACGAAAATGCCAACGTGTAGTTGAACACTACGACGCCCTAAGCGCTGATGTCGCGAGTATCCACTCCCGTCATGTCATGCGTAAGTCGAGCGCTAAACCCGCTAAACCCTATATGAACTTGCATTAATTGAATCACGTTTTTTTTTACAAAAGAAGAGGTTGCTGTATTATGTCCTCATGGAATAAGACTTTTCTTAGAGAATAAATGTGCCATGGAATATAATAAATTTATATTGAATCTCGTTGAAGACAAAATAATATCTACTGCCACGGATATTTATGTAGGTTGCCATGCGACAGATCAACAATCATACATTCGTCAGCAGTTTCAAAAAAATCGGTTATTGATACCGGGGCTTTGCCGTATGAAATAATTTTAGTTCTGAATAAATTTTACATAATAACAACTAATATTGATGTAAGTGATGGCTTAGCTAATGGTTGTGTGGGAAAATTAGTGTACATAGAACGTGGCGATAATGATGAACTTCTACGTTTATGGTTTGAATTTCCCGGTAAGATAGGTAACAAAATTAGGAAGAAAGCTTCACATCATATTCAAACTCTTAATATCAGTAGGACAGCTGTGCCGATGCTCAGGAGATCTTATTATTATTGATGTTATATGATTATTAAAAGATGATTTTTAAAATTCAAATATGATGTTTTTTTTATTTTTATCTTAATTGCCTACTCATACAATATTAAAAGTTTTACTTCAATCGCGTGTGATCCTTACGCGCACTCTTTTTTTTTTTTTTTTTGTTCGTGCGAAGACTTATTCGTAATTTTAATATTGTTTGAAACGATTTCCGCGTTTAAATGTGTTCCCGTCGCCTACCCCCCACGGCAGGTTCAAGTAATTCGCGTTTCGTTAATAAATTAATTAGATATATTTTTTCATTCGGTGTATGGATTCTTGCGATGTTTTTCCCAGAAGCAACGCAACCCCATACACTTTAATTTATAATTAGTAATATGTGTACCTATAATGTACAATGTTTAATTTTTTGGAATTATTTTATTAGTAGCATCGATGTAAATAACTCGTCTAAAAATTTAAAAACTTTGGTAAATAAATTACTTGTTTGTATTTTGACTGATTTTTCTGCTGTAATGCAATGAACATATTTTAATTAAAAAATTTAAATTTGTTGTGATTGCACAATAAGTCTCCTAACCGGAGAAACGTTAAAGACGTACTGTTTGAAGTTAAAAAAAAGGTATGATGATACAAAACCCTAAATTATGTAAAAAAAATAATAAAATTAACATTTATTTTAGAGCCTCAACTAAAGGTACCAGGAGTTTGAATACTACAACGAGCAGGAGAGCATGTGTACCGATATGATGTACCACAGCACTGGAATGAATACGGGCAGGCTACCAAATAGTATTTGTAAGTCTTTGTCTATTTCATTTGTTTCAAGTCACTTTTCATTTCAGTGTTACAGGAGTTAATTTCTCACCGCGACGGCAAGCACCAGGACTGCCAGATGACCGCCAGGAGATCGTGGTGGATTGAAAGGGTTGAGGGTACCCTTTTTGGGGTGCAATGAATGCTATTTGGTACATTTTAGCATTGCATTTGCCAATATACAGGGTTGACCTTAGCGCCCCAATCTGACTTTTAGTAAAAACCGGTAATTATCTGTAGAGTGCGTAACTACACGAATGAAATAGCATCTATACTTATTAACTTATTTAATATTACCTAATTGTGTTCGTCGTAGGTGCGAAGATATGACAGTATTTTTGTAGCCATGTCTTAAGTCTAAATTCTGATATACTATTGTTTTGGTTGATCACGAAGCTTGAAATTATAGATGTGTATGATACGGCGTGATGGCAAAGGGAATCGCTTACAATCGGAGAACTCTCACTTTTTCTGGATTGTGTTCTTCGCCCATGGAACAACACACGCACCATTATACACTAACTGCCAGGAGGCTTGCGTCCTACTGACTCGATTGACTACCTCAAAAGACTGATACTTAAAAAATGATTGCGACTTTGTAACGACAGCATGCAATCTTTCCAAAGTGTTGCACAACCTTTAGTGCAAACTACATCCGTCACCCGCCTATATGGTTCCTGTCGTATGAGGTCCAGAGTCGCAAGTGTTTGCGTTCTATAAAGCCATCGTACATCATTTCCAGGGAGTTGCACAACCCTTAGTGCAAACTAAATCACCTCCTGCCTATAAGGTTCCTATAGTATGAGGTCCGGAGTCGCGATCGTTTTTTAATATTAGTCCTCTTAGGTGGTCAATCCAGTACGTAGCACACAGGCCACCCTCACTTAGTTAGTGCATAGTGATGGTATGTTGTACCAGGAAAAAGGAACACGATCTCGAAAAATCCGAGTTTTTCGATTTTAAGCTTTCCTCTTCGTAATTACGCCGCTCTATACATTTTTAATTGTTTCTAGCTTTATAATTATACCCAATCATTAGTACATTCGAATTTAGGCTTCAGGCATCACTATACATGAGTGCAGTCAAGCTCTCGGATCTATAAACATAACTCGGTAACAATAAATAATTTGATAAGTAGATTCTGTTTTAGTCGTGTAGTTAGTTAAAATCTCCACTGAAAACTGCAGGTTTTGTTGAATCGAATTAGGGCGCTAAGTTAAACCCTTCATATTGGGGAGTGAGATGCTAAACATACCAAATAGCAATTATTATACTCTAACAAGAGTACCCTTAACCCTTTCAGTTCACCTCCATATGGATATGTACAGGTTTTCTCGTATTCATAAGTTAATATTAAGAAATTAGTCCTTAGTTAGATATAAGTATATAATATTTTTATTTGTTACCGGGGCCCCGTTTGTATGTTCGTCCCTATTTTTAGGGGCACTTGTGTTTTTTTGTTTCTCATTTCAGATATCTTTCCAAAAAATTGCTTACCAAGCATACGGGTACTACCAAAAAACCTCTACCGAATAGAAAGATATGTGCAAGCGAGTACCAACCACAACCCATAGAAGAAAATTGGTCAGACTAATCGATGTACCAAGACACTAAAATTATTGGCATACTGCTAAGTAATATGTATAAATCATTTTTCTTTATATTTTTTAAACCACTTTTTATTTCAGGATTACATAATTAATTTCTTTTCGCACCACAAAGCACCAGCACTTCCAAATAACTGCCAGGAGGATATGCATATGTAGAGGTTTTTATCGTATTATTGTTAATTAGACCTTAGTTATAACCATATATATTCTTTTATTAATATAACCGGGGCCCCGTTTGTAAGTTCGTCCCTATTAGGGGCACTTGTGTTTTTTTTTTCATTTCAGATGTCTTTCCAAGAAAACATTGTATTGTAGGTCTTACCAAGATATACACGAACCACCAAAAGACCACTACCGAATTAAAGGATATATGCAGGTGGGTATCAAGAATAACTTCTACGACCCATACGAATAAATGTGATAAAATTCTATGTTTACCTCTTTTTAGGTCTTACACGAGATTTGAAATAGAAAATGGTATACTCAAAATCAACTAGCACCACTACACGCCTACAACCCCTACAACTGAATTGGAAGATATGACATATTAATCAAAAGGGAAATTAACTGTGAGATAAGACTTTTTATTATTATTGTATAGTTATAATATTATATTATTGTATTATAGTAATATTTAGTTAATATCAGGTTAGGGGGCGTTTTGACATTAAAATCTTTGGTCGTACTTTTTTTGGGGTTGTTTGCGTGCTTTTATTCAGAGCTCAAAAGGGTGGCGTCGTGAAAGAACCTTTCTTACATTTTTCGCGCTTTTCTTCACATTAATCAATTAATAATTACAAATCACAAAATGATTTGTCCTTAAACTTCATAGGCTGGGAACCTATGAAGTTTTTTTTTCCAAGTGTTTACATGGTGGATCTGGGGGGTACATCATGTAAATGCTCTTTTTTTTATAAATTTACAATCACCGCTAAAATATTAAAGTACACATTTTATATTCATTTTTTTCTTCTTCGCCACGAGAGGTTCTTTCATTTTTAAAAACCGAAATTTTTAGGTACATTTAGCTCATTTCGCGGGGGTTCTATTCGCGTTATATTCGGGTCAGTTAGGTATAATTAGTTTATAAGTTAGTTTAAGTGGATTAGGGCTGCACAAATCGATACTTAGTAGTATTTACACTATATCCATTTCCATCTGAAATGTTAGAAACGTAAATATGAATAGAAGTATCTATTTCTGTGGCGACACCACATTAAAAAAAACGCGCCGAGCAACTTCACCTCATGGGTGGTGCGGAAGCAAGTTGCATCTTAATTAAGTACATATAGTTATAAAAATTAAAATATTTACATAATTATGTTAATTAATATACATAAATGTATCAATATATGTGTACATATCACTGATAATTACAAAGTAATATCGATATATCTTAAAATAAAAAATTTCAAAATAATCTTTGCTTTTTAATATGTCGTTAAAGTTTTTTTAATTTTTTTTTTGGCATTTTATAAAGAATTATTATATACTTTCAGAAAGAATATCATCAATAATTATTAATTTTGAATTTGTTGAAAAAATACTATATAAATACTACTAGGCGAAGAGATATGATGGTTTTTGATAAAATATATTTGATCAAAAATCATGCATCTCTTAGCATTGTAGTATCTATAGTTTTGTTTCAGCATCTAATTCAAATCAACAACTATTATTCTTTTTAAAAGCATCTAATAATTATTATTCTTTTGAAAAAAAAAACCTGAGTGTGAAAGATAATTCATAATTTCATTAATATATTTGTTATTATTTTTAAAGCCAGCCTAATAAATAAAACTAATGGGGCGCATGGTATCGTACCTTAAGACAAATTGCTGGAACTTCCCGTACCAATTTTTTTTTTAAGATTAACATTTTTGAGAAAAAAATTACTTTGAATTTTTGACCAAAATTTACTTTTTTTTAAGAAATGTTTTTGGATGATTTTTTAAACTAAAACATCTGGTGTAAACGTCTCCGTAAAATTGTAAAATATTATTACATACAACGGTCAGGAAAATTTTGTTAATCCCATAAATAGGGAACGATCTTGCCCAGGTTCGACGGCTCATGTAATTAGGTTATAAAATAAGATTGTAAAATGTATTCCGTCGGGCCTGGAATTCAAAAAAATAGTTAGTCTAGCGTTAGCAGTCAAAGGAGAAGGAAGTTTGTAAAATAGTATAAAATAAAATTAAGTTGAATATAAGAGAAGTTTCATTTTCTAAAACAATCATCGTGGGGATTTTGCATTTCGTCGATTAATACAAATTACAGTCCACTATCGAAGCATCATCAACGACGTCATGTAAATCGCTCCAGTTTTCTTTATTTTGAAATATTTGGAAAATTATGAACTTTTTTTTCAAAGCAATCGTACTGCTTTAACTGCATAAAGACGGTTAGAACTATTCTACGTAGAATAGTGTATATATGTAAATTATAATTTACCAATATACTATTCTAGGGTCAATAATAATTCTTATTAAATGCGTTTACAAATATTTTGTTATTTAAATTTAAATGAAACTTTTTTGAAACAATTTTCAGTTTGATATGTTAAAAACAATCAATATATTTATAAATTGTACATACATTAAATACATTATAATTAATCTATTGATGCGAGAAAGTCGACAAAAAAAATAAAATTTACCTTAGATCGCGTTTGGATGAATTCAGCAGCATCGCTGTTTCTGTTTATTAATAAATCCTTTTTTATTCATGTCTTCAAGTAACTTAAATAAATTTCATATCTGACAATAAGCAATATAATATTTAAATATTAAAATCTATTAAAATTTATTCCTTTTTTCTTTTAAAAAAATATTTAATTTGTTTTCAACTATATAATATTGACCAGTAAAACATTAAATTCAGAGATCAATTATTTATTATATACATATATTAATATTTTATACAATTTAAATTAAATAAGTCACATTTCATCATTATGAAGATCATTATCTATTAATGCTTGCCTTTCATGTATTTTCAGATGACTACGCAACACATGTGATTGTGTGAAACCTTTTCCACAGATTTCGCATTTATATTTACGTTCCCCTGTATGAACAACCATATGTTGCTTGACATGTTTAGAAGTTAAAAATCGTTTACCACATTCTGTACAAGAATAATTGCGAATACCAGAATGTTTAAGCTTATGTTTAACTAGCTCACCACTAGATTTAAAAGCCATCTCACAATCTTCACAAGCAAAAGGTTTTCACCTGTATGAAACCTTATATGAATGCGAAGCTTATTGGCATCAGGAAAACCTTTAGAGCATATCTCACAAATATGTTTGTCATAAACAGTATGATGTGTCCTTATATGACTAAATCTTGATGCCCAAGTAACAAATTTTTTATCACAGTGTTGACAAGCATATTTTAACACACCAATATGAGTGCTTTTATGAACATTAAGATTAGTAGCTGACTTATATGTCTTATTGCATATAGTGCATTTATAAGGACGCAAGTTTGTATGCGTTGTAAAATGTTCTCTCAAGGCACTATTAGATTTGCTGACATGTCCACACTGTGGACATAAATGCAAGTTATGGATCTTTGCATGTTTTTTATATTCAGCTTTGTTAGGAAAGAACAACTGGCACTTTCGACAAGCAGGTTTACGAGGTGATGTTTCTGATTTTTCTGAACCAGACCGTAATTGAGAATTTTTACTGTGATATTTATTCCAATGAACTTTATATTTGTTCTATTGGTGAAAAACATTTGGCACTTGTGACACCTGGGCTGTCGAAAAGAATTTTGTGAAGAAGAGTCAGGAATGTCTACAAAACTATTCAAATCTGGTGAACATTGAAGAAAGTTTATGCGATCATTTAATCTTGAATTTTGTTGTGAATTATCAAGACGATCTTGCAACATTGGGCTCGTTTGGTCTTCAGACTTTTCTATTTCTGTTTCAGAATTTTGTGGAAAAACTAGTTCCTGGCATTCATAATTATGATCTTGATCTTTCTCTGCAAATGATTCATTCTCAGCGGTTGGTTCATCTATGGCTTCAATTTTTTTTGAATGATTTGAATTTGTTTGTACTTGCCTTCGATGATTTTTTTGCCAATGCTTTTTATATTCTGCTCTATCAGAAAATGATAATTGACATTGATGACATTGTGGTTTATGGGATGATTTTGGAATGCATGAACCAAGTTCTGCAGAAATAATATTGAAACTATTTAAATCTACTGAGCTTGAAAACTTTATATAATCATCAATATCCTCGTTGTCATCAGTATTTGAGGAAATAGGTACCTGTTCATTTTTATATTCTGTTTCATCATCATTATCTTGAACCAAATCAAACTTTAAATAAGATTCTTCTTCATTTATTGTAGAAACTCGGTTTCATTAATATTATAATTTAAATCATTTACATCGTCGCTTAATAAATCTGTACTTTCAGTTAAACTATCCAATTGCTCGATTGATTGCCTACATTTCATCCAGAAGCTATAAGATTCAATTAGTTCACTGAAACAACCATTACAAATATGTTTCGGGTAAGGGTCGTCATAAGATACATCAAGGGCTGTGCAAGAGAGAAACATATTCAATAAATCATTCTGTTGTTGTGAAGAACATAATTCTTCTGCTGGAAATAACGATTGCATTTCTTCATCTTGAGTTAAACAAGCACGACATGTGTTGTTTCCCAAAACAAAAACCGAAAAATTTCGATGAAGGTCTGATGAGTAGTATTCTAGTTCAAAGGGTAGGCTGTCTGTCATAATGCTACTACTATCCATTAATTCACATTTATTAAAACTAACAGATAAATTAACGTAGCAAAACTTATTGTAAATTGATTAAACTATGTTTATAAACACTCTCTTTAACCTAAAATTCGAAATGTCAAATTTGTATACGCAGCTAACTTCTCCTAAGATGACAGAGGGATGACAATTTTTCAAAGTTGGCAGCGATTGCCATCATTTGATATTTTTATCTAAATATTGTGATTAAGTCAATTCTTACACATTTCGGCAAATTCATGCAACATGCCTTAAGGCTAATTACCACTTTCAACTATAGTTTATTAAAAAGAT